CCACATTTTTACGGGGTTGTTGGGCTTCTCACTATCAAGTTATAAGGGTTCTTTTTATATTCCAAATGTGAGTCCTCTGTCAGATACAGGTGTTGCAAATATTTTCTCCTTATCATTGGCTTCCTTTTCTCGGTTTCTCAAAGGCAGTCTTTGAAAACTAGAGTTTGTAATTTGATCAAGCTCAATTTTTTCCTTTATGTATCTTTTGTGACTTGTTTAAAAAAACTTTGCCTACCTTAAAATCTTACAAATTAAAGAAACAAACAAAAATAAACAAATAAATAAAATCTTACAGATTTTCCCTTGTGTTTTTTGTTTTTTTTTTTTTTTTTTACTTTTTGAGACAGGGTCTCGCTCTGCAGTTCAGGCTAGTGTTGAGCTCACTTTGTAGCCCAGGCTGGCCTTGAACTCACAACGATCCTCCAGCCTCAGCCTCCCGAGTGCTGGGATTACAGGCGTGCGCCACCACGCCCAGCTTCCCCTGTGTTTTCTTCTACATGTTTTAGCATTTAAGTCTAGGTCTACGGTCCCTTTGGAGTTGATTTTCCCATACGGTGCGAAGCAGGGGTAGAAGTGGAGGTGTGTCGTTTCCTTTCTCCATGTGGATACCAGTCATGCCAGCCACTACAGAAAGGACTATCTTTTAGGGGCAGTGGACTTTTTCAAAGCTCCCTCACTGGCTCAAAACAGTTGTGTTGAGTGCTGTCATTTCTGAGCTAGTCACAGCCCAGCTCTTTGCTGCTACTATTTTTTTCAAGTTTACCTCACCAAAATAGGTAACTTTACACCTGGGCAGGCTCTTGGAGGTAAACTGGGCTGGTGGCTATTTCTCATTCTTATTTGTTGAAGTTATACACAGATACAATTTAATAACTCAGCATACTACAGAGTTTCCTTCCTAAAACATCATTTCCCCATGCTGTTCTTCTACTCTCCCCAAAGGCAGCCAATTCCAACAAGCATTCAGCTGACTTAGTCCAGCCATCATGGAGGACGGCGACCAGCTCCCCAGTGTCTCCATCCCAGGCTCCATTCTCCCTTTGTACACAGGGCCCTGCGCTCATGAGCTCTACCCGCCACACACTCCTTCCTACACACGCCACACACCTGCTTTCCCCACACAGTGCAAACACACCTGCAAGGCTGACAGGACTGTGCTTTCCAAGAGCCGCAACAACAACAAAAGCAACTGTCTTAAACAACCGGACATTTGGAGAACACTCAGCATTTGTTACCGTGCAAAGGAACGCAAATTAAAACCAATGAAGTGGCGCATGCCTGTAATCCCAGCACTCGGGAGGCTGAGGCAGGAGGATCACTGCGAGTTCGAGACCAGCCTGAGCTACAAAGTGAGTTCAAGGCCAGCCTGAACTGCATCCCTGTCTCAAAAAGATAAAAAACAAACAAATAAAACAATGAAGTAACAGGCTAAACATATGATAAAGTTGTCAAGGATCAAAAGAAATGAAAATAGCCTCATTCTGAAGAAGAGGAAACCAGTATCCTCAGGCTTTGTGGCAAATACTAACACAAACTTTGAGAATATTTATTCATCTAGGAATAGGTGCCCCAAACCAGCAGGGGGTGGAATACTGAATGGTGACATATGAAACAAGAAAAACAGGCTGTGCTTTGGAAAAAGTTGTCTATACCTTTTGCTTCCAATCCTCCCTCTTAATTTTCTATCAGATTTTTGCCCTTAGTCCCTGCCTAAAGCTGCCCTTCAAAGCCAGGGTCACCGGCAGCACCCAGGATGCTAAGTCTACTGGTCCATTCTTGGTCCTCTTTGTGCTTGACCTAACACAGGATGTGACGCCACTGATGGCTGTCCTTGGTAGGCTGCCTTTGCCAGGCTTACCTCTGTCTTCCTCCCAGCCTTCTGGTCACTCCTTGTTTAGAATCATCGCTAGTTTTCCTCTTCTTCCCAACCTTTGAGGACCCAACAGTTCCACCTTTGGTCCCCTCCTTTGTCTTTATTCTTCTGGGGATCTCATCCGATTTCACATCATTAAATAATATCTAAACTGTATGCTAATGTCTCTCAAATATATATCTTCAGCTCAGATCTCTACCAAAGTCTAGGCTTCTACGAAACAGCAACATCTCTCAGACGTGTAACAAGTGCGGAAGGCTCACCATGTCCAAATAAAACCTGTTTTTCCTTGCTAACCTCACTCTTCTGGCAGTTTTCTCCACTCAGCAGAAGTCAACTCCATCCCTCCGGCAATTCAGGCCCAAAAAGCCCCTTTTCATTTTCTTTCACACCTTGTATGCAATCTAGCAGGACATCCTACTGGCTCTCTCTCTTGAACATACATCCAGTATCCTGCGTATCTCATCAGCCGCACGACAGCCCCAGCTCAGGGCCATTGGACCGTGACAACTGGCTCTCACAACTCTTCTTGCTTGAGCTCTTGCATTAGTAAGGCCTCCTCAGCACAGCAGCCAGATTGACCCTTTTAAGACATAAGTCAGATCAAGTCCCCCATCTGCTTAGACCTCTGCTGTGGCTCGCATCTTGTGCAGAGTAAAAGTCTCCATGCTTAAGGCAGACCCACCTGATCTCCACTCTGCTCCCATCTGCCAGTGATCCTCACCCCTCTTCCTCACAGATGTACCACAAGCACACCTGCCCTTGCTCTACCTGGAACAAGCTAAATGTACTCAGAACTTAGAGCTATCGTTCTATGCGACCGATCAACCTGAAATCCTTCTTCACCTCCTTTAAGTCTTAGCTCACCTCTCATTGTGTCAATAAGGTTTTCTCCACGGAGGAACAGATGACGTATCACCACCACCACTTTCCTTTAGCTTCCCAGCACACCTCGGTCCCATGCTTTGCTCTTTTCCCCAGTGGTACTGAACATTTTCTAACATATGATGCCATCTACTTATTTAGTTCATTTTCTGTCTCTCTTGCCAAGATGAAATCTCTGTAAGGATCTTTGCCATTTTGCCATCTCATGTATTCCAAGCTTTCAGAACACATAGTAGATAAATATTTGTTGAAGGCAAGAAAGTTGGATGGTGAATTTATGAGCAAACGATTATTTGATTACACTGGGTCTGAAGAATTTCAGTCCATGAACAGCACATACACATAAGATTAGTCCAAGTCCATGCTCTGAATACTTGGGCCTCGATGGTCACTGTCACATTGTATCAACTGCCCCGTCTACAGAGATTGTATCCTCAACCATCCCATGACCCCACCTTCAAACCAAAGGGAAATCAGGAGGCTGACAGCTGGTAAAATGACAGACGGTGATCTTCCTGCGGCTGTCCCATTCAATCACTACCTACACACACAGCCCTCCCCACCCCGCCATCTCCCTTGGAGAATAAACTCTGCCACAGCCTGCTACTCCTTCCTTTTTCTATTTCCCCAGCAACTCACAGAATCACCTTAAAAATCCCACTCCTCCCATCAGATTTTAATGAGGGGGATGCTCTCAGCAATTAGAAACAGGGAAGGACTGATTAGGGCGCCTGTACATCAGTGTTTAACCCAGCATCCCATACAGTGCTCCAAGCATTAACCTCATTCCCCATACACACTCAATTAGGCATATTTACTTCTCATTACCCAGTATGCAATCACGAGTGCTAATAGAAACCTGTTACCCCCAACAATGCAATTAATGCCATTAGCTGTCTCTCAGAAGCTCTTCTACACTTTGGTGCCAACAACAGTCTGCTCACCCAGCCACTTACTCAGGTATCCATGCACCTACGTTCTCTTCTGTTTAGCAAAGGTTGAGTGCAGGCCTACTATGTGCCTTAGTAAAGGGCCTGGGACTAAAGAGATGAATGAGGCACAGTCCTACTCTACAAGAACTTGCAATAATAGGTGAACGAAACTCAGAAGAAGGAGTAGGTAGAGACGTACAACTCCAGTCTCTTGCATCAGTTCAAATCCCAGCTCAGCCCTGTTTTAGCTCTGAGTCTACAGCAGTCAGTTGCTACCTCTAACTCCCACTTTTAAGATGAGGACGATCATCACAGCATGGCACAGGGCAGGTGGGAGAGCTACATGAGATAGTGCCTATCAAGTGCCTGCCCTAGGCATAGAACACGCTCAGTAAACGGGAAATCAGAAGTCAGTGCCCTGCTCTCAACCTTCAAACTTTGCCAGGCACTTCCCACTTCATGCTGTTTTCCTCTGACCTGAAAGGTAAAGAGAATCCTCCCAATTTAAAAAACTGGAAGTGAAAGAGGGAAATCCTTTTGTTCTATACAACACAGACAAATGGAGCAGCCAATGGTGGTCTTGGGTAAGGACAAGCATGCTCATGGTTAAGAGGGTGCACCATAGATTAAGCCCAAACACATATCAACTCTCCAGAGCTCCGTGGGTTCCTCCATCTGTCTCAGACAACATGCTTCTCCGTTTCTTGACTAATCCCTCCACCACAGTCCTAGCCACAGAGCTACTAGGAATCTCTGCACTTGATCAGACTGCTGGCATCTCAGATAGGAGAGTGGCCTGACCGGTCTGACGGACTGGACACACCTACGCTCACATCAGTCCATCAAGGCACATATGCGTATGCGCTCCTGGGAACTGAACAGCTCTTGTCCACTATGGTCTGGCAGTGACAATGGCACATCGATTTTTATGGTGGAAAAACTCTATGAACATACATAAATGTATATGTATAAGAAGAATATCACATACACACATAAAGCCACACACATGACTGGGAAATCTCTGAAAAGATACAAGAAATTGCTAGCAATATTGCCTCTGTAAAATCAGAGGGATGGATTGAATTGGAAGGTTTTTAGATTCTACTAAAAATCCTTCTAAACTGTTATTTTTACATGAGAATACATTATCTATCTATATCCACAGTGACATCTCTACATTTATGAAAAAACAAAACACAGCCTGGCTTCAAGAACCTCCGCCATGGCTCTTCCAGACTTGGGAGGGGAGGACATGGGAAGGGTGGAGGACGGGGAGGAGCACAGGAAAGGGAGGCCCGCCAGGAACTTACTGGTGTTGTGGTCTATGAAGTAATCTCCGACCTGCGGGTCATACGCTTCTTCCCATCCTAGCGGCAACTCATCACTAATGCAGTCAGCAAAGGTGAGCGGTTTGGTGTACCTGCAAAGGGAGAGGAGACACACACTCCATCAACCTACAATATCCAACTCCTGCAATGTGCTGCTCCTCCAGACCAGCCCAACAGGCCCTGAAGTTCTGTACTGTGCCACCAGCTCTGCTGACCTTTTGTTTGTGGGAAGGTAAAGGTAAAGCATCACGGTATGATCGCCCTTGCAAGGAGGCAGAGAATCTGCATTCTGGTCCTGATTTTTGACACTAACTTGGTAGTGATTGAGTAAGTCGCCCTCCTTCTCTGGACCTCTGTTGCTGCATCTCTAAGTGAGCACTGGCTCTAAGGCCAAGTCTTGGCTTCTTGACTTGGACTCAACCCTCTCTGGCTACCCCACCTGTAATTCACTGGCCCATTCCATCTCCCAACTGGAGCTTGGCTCTATGCTGTGTCTGTCATGCCCACTTGCCCATTGGAAAGCTGGCTTACTGCAACATCTAGAACAGCAGATGCTCTATCCCTCTGAGTCTGGCCAGTGACCAGGGTTTATTTGCTGACTGAATTGATTCCCAAATGCCTGTACCTACTGCTGTCCTCCCTGTGATATTCCTGGACAAACTGATCTTTTGGCAATAATCACTCTTTAGGTCCCTAGCACAGGGGGAATGAATGGGGGTGGTAGACACCAAGTGTTAGTGGCAAAATCAAACATACAAACAAATCAACTAAATAAACCAACAAAGGCTTGTCAAGACTGGAAAACTGTATCACAAACCATTTGTCCAGTATTTTAGGCATAGTGTGGACAGCCAGGAATCTAGGCACATGGAACTTAGCTCAAGTGGCCGCATTGGTTTCTTCCTATTGCTGCCTTGTCTAAAATATTGATTCTAATATTCCTCCTCTCCTGTCTGCTTCCTCCCTGTCTCAGCTCTGGAAGCCCAGATGACTCTGCTTCATACCTTTTTCTACAGATTGGCAAACCAAGGTACGATGGGACAGGAAGGGAAATGACTGGGATGGGGTCCAGGATTTCTGACCAAGGGCTTCCTTGATCAGAGGAAACTACCCTCATTCTTATTCTGTTCCATCTCCTTCCCTCTTAAACTCATGCCATAGTTTGATGTGGAAGAGCCCCCAAAGGTCCTTTTAGAGATTTGGTCCCTGGCTTGGTACCATTTGGAAGTGATAGAGGAGCCGTCAGGAGGTGGGACCTAGTGGGAGATCTTCACATCACAGTGTAGTGGGACAGTAGGGCCGCGGCCTCTTCCTCGCACTCTCTTTTTCTTCCAGGACACAGAGTGAGCACTCCCCTACCGTGCTGTGCTGCTTCACCACAGGTCCACAGCAAGGGAGCCAGTGTGGCACTGTGAAAGACTGCTGAGTCCGAGAGGATGGGGCTCGTGCTATATATTTAAGTGCAACAGACCAAGCCCTGACAATAAGGATTCAGGAAGCATCACTTAGGCTGAGCACGGTGAGCACACACCTATAATCATAGCATTCTGGCAGCCTCAGGCGGAAGGATCACAAGTGTGAGGCCGACTAGGGAAATTTAGCAACTAGCAAGACTCTGTCTCAAAATTTAAAAAAGGACTAGGAATGTCGCTCAGTGCAAGAGTCTTGGATTTAATCCCGAGTACTGGGGGCGAGGGGGAGGCATCATTTTTTAACTGTATGAGTTGGACAACTTAGTTAAACTCCCAGAAGCTTTTTTAAATCTGTAAAATGAGGATAATAGTATAATAACCCTCCAGGTGGTAATCGAGATTAAAAAAAGGCTGCAACTGTGAGTTAAACATTTAACACAGATGCTGGCTTGAGGGAGCACCCGGAACACATTCGTTACTGCCTCTCCTGACCACAGTGGGAAACTGAAGCTAGCAAAGACTGAATAATATTGTCTTCTCAGTGTCAGGCGCAAAGACTGGAATTCAGTCAGGGCAGTCTGTCTCCAGTGCACCCTGCTGCAAGCTACTAAGTTCTCTTCACAGTCGACATCCTCAACACATCTCCTAAGAACCACGGAAAATCACAGGCCACCAGCCTGATACACAAAGGGTAAAATGGGGAAACCAGGCAGCGGGGACCTTTCAACAGCTCAAAATGCTTTTCGCTCAGGTGCACCTATCCCAGGCATTCTGGACATTTTCCACAGAGCTGTGAGCAGCCTAGCCTGCCCACGCCACCACTCCACAACCTGCCCAGACTTCAGGAACCAGAGGCCACTGCCCTCAGTGCTTCCCTTGCTCCAGCTTCTCCATGAGTTGGTTCCCTCCTCTTAGTGAGAATGAAGTCCAGGGATGGAGAGACACACACATCATCCAACATTATTTTGTCCAGCGAATCTTTCAAAGGGTCTCTGAAGAAAGGCTCTACACACAGATACACCCCGCCAAGGTGAGCTGCTCTGTGACTGACACAGATAAATGCCAGGGAACAGGAATGCTCAGGGCCCCAGGGAAACCCCTCCTTCTGGCTCCTTCTCCTCCTTGCACTCTGCCCTGAGAATTCCCACCTGCCAGCGGAGACGGGAATCTTACTACATACAGTTTGCACCCCAGAAAACCAAGAACACATGTCCCCTCTCAACGGCTTTCCTGAGCCTGCATAAAAACTGTCTTCTTTTGAAATTCCTCCTAAGGATGAAAGATTTTAATCAATGGTGCATCCAAGCAACAGAATCTTTTTTTTTTTTTTTTTTTTTTTTTTTTTTTTTTTTTTTTTTGTTTTTTGGTTTTTCTCCGGTACCAGGAACCGAACTCACGACCTTGCACTTGCCAGGCAGGCGCTTTTGCCGCTGAGCTAAATCCCCAGCCCCTCAAGCAACAGAATCTTATGTCCAGCATACATGGTGCTCTATAGGTATTTGTGCAATGGGTGAATAAAATACTAAGTAGGAACAACAACAAAAAAGGAAGTAGTCTGCATATTGCCAATGTGGAAATATACTCTCATTTTACTTAATGAAACGACAATGAAAACTTTCAAATTCACCAATACAAATGATTCCCTGGGCCCCTCGGTGTATGGATAGGAATGAGTGCAGGGAGGCAAGACTGGTGAAAGAAAAAAGCTACAGAATTCGGTTATAGTATGGGGTGTGTGTGTGTGTGTGTGTGTGTCTGAGAGAGAGAGAGAGAGAGAGAGAGAGAGAGACTGGTTATTATTATCATGTAGTACAGGCTGGCCTTGAACTTACTATGTAGCCCAGGTTGGCCTTGAATTTGCAGTGATTCCCTTGCCTCCTGAGTGCTGGGATTACAGGCTGTAACTGCTGATATTCTGCCTAGAGAGTGTGTGTGTGTAATAAAACTGGTAAAACAGATATTGAAATGTTATCTGAGTATATAGACTTAAATGCAATTTTAATTTCTTTTTAAACTAACTGTGCTATAATGTTTATGCATTAATTATAATTAAAATATTTAACAATGGCTAAATCTAGGCCTAGAAAGCATGTTACGTATATCATGTTCCCTCTCTGGGTAGTAGGTGCTCTTACTCAGTTTTACAAATGAGGAAACATGCTCCATATTACATAGTTAATAAGTGCTAAAGGTTTACACCTCCTGATGCCCTACCACTAGGTCCTAAAACCCAAGCTTTGCTAATAAAAATTAACAAGACCAAGTGAGCCTCAGAGAAATCTGGAACATGGAGCAAGCTACGCTAGAGGCAGAGGACAAAACTGAACCACAGGGATGTCTGATGCGGGCACAGGCCCTGGGCCTTTATGCTCTGGGGCCCTTCTGCAGTTATGTCTCGGTACAAAGATACTCAATACGCTCAGAATGCACCTTCCTTAATGATAAGACAATGGACTGTTTCAAAGTCGTGAATACAAATGGTTCCCTGAGTCCCTCCGTGTGTGGCTAGGAATGAGTCTAGGGTGCAGGACTGAAAGGTCAAACATGCATCCCTTCTCTAGAACACCATTAATTCCACTGATTGATCCAGCTTCACACAGTGAGAAGTCAGAACTCGGGTAAATACAAGCACAGCATCAGTAATGTGACAGACAGGGCTAAGATGCTGACTCCCACTAGCACAGAATGCAGACAGGTACCCAACAGGCATAAAGGAAAGAAAGTGAGGCGAGAGGACCCAAAGTCAGAAGGAGAAGATGAGTGAAGAAGAGTGCCTTTGGGTGTGATATTTGGGTCTCCCAAGGACACAACCACGGGGAGAAGGTGGAAGGCTGCCTTTCAGTGCACTTTCATGGGAAAGAGGAAGGCTGCTATGGGAAAGAACTATGCAACTTAACAAGAAATCTGGACAGCAAGATTCTCTCTGGAACAAATGCCAAGAGGGAGATGAATTATTCAGCGTGCAGAGATGTGTCATTCAGAGAATCAGGATAAAGGCAAGGGTTTTAGCAGCGCAGGGATTTAAGCATGCATGCGCACGCACACACATATACACACACATATACATACACGTTCATTCTTCCTGCCAGGGGGCAGAACTGACTGTCCATGGATACTATATACCCACCCCCGGGAGTTGTGGGGGCTCCTATGGTCTGCAACGTTCCACCATGGGCAGGTGCCAAGAGTGTGAGGTGAGAAGAGATACTGTATCTGCTTTCAGATGTGGCCAGGACAGTGGGCGGGGGGGTGGGGTGTGCTGTCTGGAACTCCCAGCAACCCTCCTGGTCCAGCCAGTTATGGTCAGTCTCTGCCTCCAGCCTCCATGTCCTGAGCTGCTCAAAACCACAATCGTGAAAGCAAATGACCCAGATGCTAAGGGGTGAGAGGCGTGAGAGGGAAGGCAGAGGGCCAGGTGAGAGCAAGTTCTGCTTCTTCTTAATTACAAATTTTAGAAGCAGCACAAACATTCCTGAATGTTTCACAACTGGCCCTCCTGGGAAGACAGCCCGGATGTATCACCGTGGAGACAGGTAGGTCCTGCCAGGTGCACTTTGCAAGGGGTAGCCAGGCACACCTGTCGGGGAAGGCCGAATGCAGCCCTGGCCTTCTCTCAGCAGCAGGCAGCCGGTTGTTTTCTCCAAAGGGAGTCAAAGGGCAGGACTCCAGAGACACACGGT